CAGTTAAATTGGCTAAATTGACCAGAAGAGTTTGTAGATTGGCTTATTGTAGGGATTATTTTTAAAACGCGGAACTTGGCAATAGGCTGTTTAGATTCGGACCCTCGCTCCGAGGTCTAATTGCCTATGTTTAATGAACTGAATTGTTCTAATTTTGTGGCGCCTACGTTAATTTTGTTAAAATTAACCTCAAAAAAGGAAAAGTGAATTGTTATTAAAAATTTCTTCCCTTTTAGAAACCAATTAAGTGCAAGAAAAGGTTTTAAAAAGATTTTACTTTTTACTAATATAAATGCGAAAGTTTAGATGGATGTTTGTTAGAGTTTGTAGCCTAAACTGCTGAACCGATTTCGATGAAATTTTGTTTTGATATATCTGGAAGTTTGAGAGCAGCCCCAGTGGTTGAGAAAATAAGGAGTAAAAGGTTAGAGTGGTATGTGCATGTTATGAGAAGGGATGAATCGCATGTAACAAGACGGACGTTAGTTAGAGGTACACCGGTAGAGGTAGACCTAGAAAGAGATGAATGGAGCGTGAAAGGTGACATGATCAAGGAGGGAGTGATGACTGAGATGACGGGTGATAGTTATTTGGAGGACAAATACCGGTGCGCCGACCCTACCGGAATATGATAAGGCAGGGGAGATGATATAGCAATCTGGAAGAACACATACCTTGCTTTCAATCTAGTGAACAGTTACGGATCCCTTGGGATACATTAATTTTGTTTTTTTTAAATATCCATTCGATTATTCTACAACGGTTCAACATATCTTAATGGGCACAGATGTAAACCAAAGTCAGAGAGTAATTTAAGTCACTTTCTCTTTACCACCCTTTTCTTATAAGGAGAGGATAGTAACGGGAAGTGGATTTGACGGTAGAGGAGATACATAAGAAGGGTAAATATCCTCTTTATGTGCGTCTCCTCTGTCGGATATTAGGCAACGCATCTGCAATTGCGGATGTCTATGGGCAGCGGTCGCTTCACCATTTTGGTGGATTCAGGTGGCCGCTTTATCGTTTACCACCTTATGTTATAAAAAAAAAAACTCATAAGCCACTTTGGTTGATTTAATTCCACGCGGAGTCGCAGCTAATAATTAGTTGTCTGTATTTTAATACTTTAGAAGGTAAAGCCTAAGGTTAGCATAGTAATTAAAAATAGCTAGATATAGTGAACATATATTCTAACCTTGTCGTATAACCTTAAAATGAAACCGCAGATAAATACAAATGTGCCTATGAATGTATGTAAAATAGGATATTTCTCTTCGTAGAACTTTTAAATATAAACTCAAGCAATAATGAAGTAAAATTCACAAAAAAATCGCCAATTGTTAATCATACTAATATAAAAGGAAAGCTTTGTTTGTTTGATTGTATTGAAATAACTCAAATACTACTTAGGCAATTTTAAATTCTTTCACCGTTAGAAAGCTACGTTATTAGTGAGTAACATAGGCGTTTTTTATTATTTTATAATTATACGCGGGCAAAGTCGCGAGCAACAACTAGTGTCAAATAGTAAAAAGTACAGATTGCAAAATAAAATAATTGCCGATTTTGACTCTGCAGATTTAAAGTCTTGTTTTACTGACCCTACTCACTCGCGATTCGTTAATATGACGTCACAATATGGCGCGGGTAAAGCATTTTTCATTAAACAGTAGCAGAAGAACGAAATGTAGGAAATTAATAAAAAGTAATTGTCAATCTGGCAAATAGTACTGTTTGTATCGCTATAGTAAATATTTAATTACACATTGCTGTTTCACTATTGAATGTAATTTTTAGTTCCATACAAATGCATCGATGGATTAAAAGTGTACAATATGATAGTAAATCAATAAATAAATCGCGTTTTATAATACAGGAACTCCATTGCCGCCATTTTTACACTGTTTATTCACATTTCCAGAATCTTCGTGTAGGGTTTTGGTATACGCTAGGAATAGAATTCTACAGTTAGAAGCGTTATTTCACTTTGATGTACCAATGGGTAAGCAGTAGCTATAAAATGAAAGGCAAACTCTTTGATTTCTTAATACTGTTTGAATAACAAAGCTGTTTCGATAATTGCTTCGCTTCGAATGTTTTGATTCGTTACACATTATTTTGTAGAAAAGTTGTATTACGAACTGTTTATATCATACTAATATTATAAATGCGAAAGTTTAGATGGATGGATGTTTGTTAGAGTTTGTAGCCTAAACGGCTGAATGGCTATGTAATTTGGTGTAGATGTAGAGGATATTCTGGAAGAACACATAGGGTACTTCATTTGTTTTTTTTTTCAAATTCAAAACGGACGGAGTCACCAGCGAAAGCTAGTCTTAAACTAAATATTTTAGATTTTATTTACGTTAGGACTTTGAACTTATGTTCAATTAATAAAACTTACTGATCTTAGGTTTAACTAAATAATTTGACTGTTCATTTCGCCGGCGCACACCACTGACTAAACTATCGCACAACTGATATGCGATTGTCGATTGTTTCGCAGCAACTGTTTAGTTGCACAACTAAAAATGGCGCACCTTCATATAAGCTCATAGAAATCAAAGCGAGTCTAAACAGTTGTGCGATAGTTTGTTCAGGGGTGTGCATGCTTCATAACATGCGTGGAATACATTTTTCAGAATGTTTTTATCCATAGTACTAACGTAATCTAGAAAGCTAAGCAGCGATAGGTGTCTCATTTAGGCCGTGAAGACCATTTGGCAGCGGGAACGCAGTTAAAACAACATTAAAATGTAATAAGAGGTGACATTACGCCCCCCCTTCCCTCCCCACCCTCAAACCCACACCTATGAGCAAATGCAAACGTTGTACACACTATCTCGATGAAATTTGGCATAGCTGTAGAATAGTCTGGAAGGACACATAGTTACTTTTGTTTGTAGAGTAGTAATAAAATAATTGAATTTTCGTAATTATCTGAGTAAGGAACTACAAGCTTACAGCGGTATCTATGCTGATGTGAGATTAATAGAAAACAGCAAATTAATCTTTATTATCTATGTAGTAAAGTAGAAAATGCAATGCATTTGTTGTTGCTAACATGCATTATCTATGGCGGTGATTTGATAATAAACCAAGTAAATAAGGAAATGTACAGACAAAATATGTTTTGTCAAACATTGTACGGTGTGTTTGTACCTTTATTTTGTATAGTTACTGGGATTAGCCTGCCACCTTTAGTTTTAACCGCAGTGTGAAGATAAAATTTAACTTTGACTATGCTATGAAAAAGACGTATTATAAACCTTGATTTATTGTTCTTATTTTGATTTATTCCTTTACTTTCTATAATAATAAAAATAAGAATTATTTACAAAATGAACATTGAACTTTTGCAATAAGAGATGGCGCTGTATGTCTGTCATGTACGACAGCTCGAACATTTTGGACAAAAAAATAATAATTTATTTTAATATAATTAAGTTCTTAAAAATATGTTAACTCTGTGTCACAAATAATATATTCATATATCTATTTGCAATAGAATATTAACCCATATAAAGAAAAAAAATATTGTTGATACTTACTGTGGTTTACTACCGCCATCTGTTACCAAATACATGAAAACGATTTTATTTTTTTATTTCCAATTATAACAATTAAATGTAATTAAAAATGTCTTTACATGCAGAAATAAAAGAATAACTTTAAAATCCTGAAAACATCGCTACTTTTCAATTCAAGTTTTTTAGAAAAATAGTGATGTCCAAATATATCGATATCGCGAATTATAACAATTCAGTAAAAAAATGAATTATTGGATTTGTACATAATTGTCATTAAATTGTTGCGGTTAAAAAGCATAATAACCCTTGATTTGTTAAAAATTAAGTATTGTGTAAGGGAGACGAAAATCACGGTCGCTTACGGCACCGTGCCAATTGGCCTCCTTCGAAAGCGATAACGTAATTTATAATTTAACAAGTACATTCGTTACTGCCAGTGACGTTAGAGGATCTAATCTTTATTATTAAACCAGCTTTTGCCCGCGACTTCGTCCGCGTGGTATTGAAAAAACAGAAGTGAAAAGCCTATGTGTTCTTCCAGACTATTTTTTACATCTATGCTAAATTTCATCGGAACCCGTTCAGCCGTTTAGGCTACAAACTCTAACAAACATGTAACCATCCATCTAAACTTTCACATTTATAATATTAGTAAGATATTTAAAGTAAATATCATGGAATAGAGCCAACAGATACAAGACAAAGAAAATTGTAATGTGGTATTGAAGCTTTTCAACGTTTTTTGTTTTAGCTTTAATTTCATTTGTACGAAAAGTAATTTTTTAATTTACTAATGTTAGGTACTAAACTTTTCGTTCCTGTGTTAGCAAAATTTTTATTGCATTTCTAACAGTGAAAACCTACATTTAGAAAGAAAGTATGTAGAACTTTTTAATAGCGGATTGATAGTGGCCTGTGGTACATAGGTAAAATTTACTGTTGGCTCAAAATTGTCACAATATTAGCAAAAACTTTACAACAAATTACACGTTGTTTTAGTATTAATATTATCGTTTTATTGACTTTTTATAGAATCATAAATTAGAATGTTAACAGTTTTGAAAAACAACTCGAGTAAAAATGGGTTTCCACTGTTCTCTAGATTGGAACCGGTTCACTTGAGCCGAGCTTCTAGAGACTGGTTTCAAACTGGTTCTATAAAAATCTATCGCTTCAACTCTCTGCTTATTTTCGGAGATAATGCTCGACTTCGTTGTAAACATTTTGATTTTGTAATATAACTGATATCTATAAGAGTACAGATATCACTAAGGTTTTGTCGAAGAGGTAGGGTTGAAACAAAACAAATTTTTCCATTATTGAATCTATGTATTTTTTTTTATAATTTCTACATTTTCTTTTTTAGTGTCTATGAAATTAATATCAATTATAAACAATTGATACATACAATATTGTTAGTTTTGTATATGTCGACATTTCAAATTTTAGAAGTAAAATGTTTTTGTATAATTTTTAAAATCTTTTATTGTTGAAAGTGAACTCTAGTACTATGATATTGTGCGTTAAAAAACACTGGACCCTACAAACATTTAGATTTCGTTTAAAAACTGTTATTCTATTGAATTACAAATTATGTAGAAATTACACTGGTGGAAAAAAAATGCATTTCGACTTCAATAACATCTCGTCAAACTATAATCTTTACAGTTAGTACAAAAATTTCTCTCTCGTCTCCCACTGGACTAAAATAACGCATCTTCGTGCGATAGAAAACAATCTTACAAAAAATTACATTTTTATATTAACTTAAATAACTTAATACTTGTTATAACTATAATAATAACCTGAGATCTTTGCAGTATATTAAGGCGCGCCGGACGCGGTCCGCGCGCCCATTCTCTATACATCTCTAACACTTCATCTGACGCGTGCTCGCTTACGCTTATAGTACAGTATATTACTCTCATTTAAAATTTATACATTACAAAAGTAGTATCACAAACCAATGTACGAACTAGTACAATTACGAAAAAACGTACACATATCCGATCTCGGTCAGAGATCGACTCTAATAAATACGATTACGATACGTGAAATATACCAACTCTACACAACTTCAGAATAGAATTGAACTCGAAACAAACAAAATAATACGTAACACTAAATCGACCAAGATATCACACGCGCGGCGGCGACTGAGATCATGGTGCGCACCTAACGCCGCCGCGCCACGCACTCGACACTCGACACTCGCTCGTACAGACAGTGAGCCGGCCGGCGCTGCGACTCGCGCCCAACGTACGCACTTTATCGATATCGACATAAAGTGCTCTGGACATCACTAGCGGCGACGCTCGCGCCGTCCTTACTCTACGACTATACATTACATATCACGCTGTGCTTTTTTCATCTTTTAAAAAATATATAATAATTAATATACATATAATATTGATATTTTTAAAGTAACGATACGCAGACTTCGAGAAGGGCGATCGGTCGGCCCGCGCGCGAGCCGCCTCACTCCGCCTGGCTTCGGAACAGTTTCTTCTTTTCTATCGTGAACTGGGGGCTTATGATGATGGTACCGCCTCGCGTTAGGTTTCTGTAAAGAAGAGAACATCGTTAGTTATCATTGTTAACAGAGAAAACAAAAATAATATTTCATTAAATAATTAAAGATATAACAAAATAGATAGAATATAAACTCACTTTAAAAACTGCGGTAACAAGCTGGTCCAGTTTGTGGCATCGTGTTCCAGATGTAGATGTATTTCGTGCGTCGTGAGTGTGTTGGGGTCTATCTTGAAGGCGGCCAGACGACGGCCGGCCACGTCCACGATGACCGCTGCACCCCGCGAGCCGCACGGCTCCCCCTCCGCCAGCGCCAGGGTCTGCCGAGAAGCGCGTGCCAACAGCTCAGCTGGCACGAGCACTTCCGCCGTCGCTAGCTCACTGGCACCCTTGGCCGCTCGCAGCTCCCTCTCCAGCCTCTGAGCCAGCGCCGCCTCCGTCGGAGCCGGCACCGGCGCTTCCCGCCATGTTGGCCCATTCCATGCTATAACAATAGAAAGGACAATTAAGAATTGGTACAAAAATAAATTTTGAGAGAAAAGAGTTTTCGATTAACCTACAAAATTATTGTTAACTTTTAATAAATTAAAAGAAAAGTTTAATTATAAAATTCTAAGTTAATATGAAGGAGGGGCGCGACTTTGTAAGGGATCGCTTCGCAACAACATTGACGTCAGCTGACCGTGACGTTTGGGGCCGGCGCGAATCAATATCGGCTTTCGGCCTCTTCAATCAAGTCCACTCCTCCTCGGTTGCATTGTAATGTATGATTGTGTAGTGGTATCAGTACAGCAGCTAGCAGCGGCCTCGGCAACGAGCCGGCCGTGCGCGCGCCGCATAGCAACACCTGACGGCCGGTTAGAAAGCCGGCTTCCCTCACCACTTCTCGCAATAGAAAGTCGAACTTACCTTTTTCACCACTGAATCCGACGTTAAACTGACTCGTGACCGGCAGGATCTCCATGTTCTCCAAATTTTTACTTATATTGTACACTTTTTAAACGCAAAGAACTAAGGCGTTCCGGTACGGAACTGTTATACTAGAAAAATATCACAAGTCTATTTTGTACTGCGAATTCGCACTGAACTGTCGGCTTCACGACCGACGACTAGTTAACGTGAAGAGATCGATGGGTAAGAAAGCGTCCGGAGTTAACACGACTGCATCAGATCTGATCTCGTAACCATAGGGCTTCGTCTCTCGCCCGAGGCTGACCGCTCGACCCACCCGACTCTGTCGCTCTTTGTGACGGACTGACGATATTCGGAAGAGTTTGCCATTTATATAGAGGGCCGGTAGCGGGGTGCGGGGGACGGCGCCGCGGGCGGCCGCGGGGGCCCCGCGCGCCAGTTGAGCCGATGCGCCGTCCGTGGCGCACGTCTTCGCGTTCCTTTGTGCCGGCTCCGGCCGTAAGCCGGCCGGCTTCTTTGTTCTCATCGCAACTCGAACAGTGATGATTTCTTACGAAAAAAGTGTTGAGTTTAATAATAAGAACCGTGTCGTTTATATAAATCGATTCTATAACTGTAATTACACATTCTGTATCGTGTCTTTGTTTATTCTTTTCGTAGGCTAAGTCTTATTGTAAGTCTGTATGTTGTAATAACATGAATGATATCAATATTATCTTGATCTGTCTACATAGGCTAGGCGAATCGTGACGTGTATGTCTTGTTAAGACACGATAATTGCTGTATATCATAACTTTAGTGAATAAATACAATGGTATTAAAGTAATATGACACATGTAAGTAGTTATAGCTAATGTTAAGTACGTAAAAAATGTAATATTTAATTCTAAGAATTGAAACTATATTGTAATGAAAAATTGTAAAAAATTAAATCCAATTGTATTTGACTACCTGTGTTCATTATCTCATTGTCTGTCCGTTCGATGAGTCATCAGAATTGTTCTATTATATAGATATTTTATGCTAATCCGTCATCAGCCAGTCTCAAAGTGTTTTATAAAGCAGTAATAACACTAAACATAAAAAAAAAACTTATGCAGGCCGCGTCAACCCAATTGCAGTTAGCAACAATAACGGTTGTTCGTTTCCGATGTTGCATCAGCGTACCAGAACTTTCGACGTTCTTTTTTTTCTCTGTGGTTTTGTTTCGATTGTTTTTTTTTAATCGAAAGTAGGATTTGTAACAAATAATTATGATTTAATGCCAAATGTTTTAAGAAATTGGAAAAGTAAAAAATATTAAAATGTAGAATAAAATAATTTCAACAATTTATTTTCTTTTAGTTTTTACTTTTTAAATCAATGATTATATGAACTCCAACAATGTAGTCATTAAAAAAACATTTTTATCTAACTAACTAATCAAACAAAAGATAACAATAATTAAGATAAGTAATGTAATTTGTGAACCGATTAGTTTATTAAAAAAAAAAACATTTAATAATACAAGTTAATATTTAGCACAGATAATTTATTTGATAGTTGCCAACAGTAACTAACGGTTAGCGTTAACCAGTAAATACGATCGATGCGAACAAAAAAGAAGAAAAAAGAAAAAAGTTGTTGCCAAGCCACGCCGGCCGGTGTTTTGGCCTTGGCTTCACTGAGTCATGATTGACTGCGCGTCGAATTGAAAAACACGTCCAGTTTGTTCAATTTCGTGATGGTTTGTCGTCTAATGATTTTATAAGGGCTTTCAAAGGTAAACTATAAAGTGATAATTTTTTTTATGTCCTATTGTATCTATGTTTATAATTTCTTTCAAGGCAAGTCTTTTAAATCCGGAAACTTACGAAAAGTTTTTCGAAAATAAATTTTCGGTTAACAATATAAAAACTAACTATTATTTCAAAAAAATGTATTAAACACTAATGTAAATTCTATTTAAAACAATAATTTCTATATTTGAAGTCAAAAAAACTTTAAAAAAGCATTTTCACTCACGTTCCTTTGTCCTCGATCATTTCTTTTGCACCAGACAAGTTAAAAGTTCCCTATACTGGTCGATATCTATTGGTAATTTCTTTTCATGACTGGCAGTTATATTTTATTACAAGTAATAATTATCTTCAGACAATAATTAGAGTTATCTAAAGCTAATATATTAATAAAACAAATAATTATTTTTCAAATGACAGTGCTTTCTAAGTAAAGATATAAAATTGCCTTTTATCGCTAGAAAGACGTATTTTATACTACATGTTTAATCCATTTAGAGAATTTACTCTTTGTTTGGTAGTTAATGGCCAGTTAAAATCTAAAGTAAAGAGTCAATGTTAATTTGTTGCCATCTACGTGACAGCTTGTCTGATGACGTTTTTTGACGTTCCGTTTTTACAAAGGTCGAGACAATATCCCTTTTTCATATTCTATCAGCCGTAATATTCGAATCAATTTCATCATTTTATTCAAAATATGTCTTAAAGATTTATCTGTATAAAGCTACAGCAGTAATTAACTTGCGTCCAAACACTGATAAACTCTTCATTACGCTTCAAACACGTCACTATTTTCTTTACAATCACTAATAATAATTAATAACATCCAGCAATAATGATAATATGCCTATTTATACACTAGCTGTTACTCGTGACGTCCGCGTAAAAAAATAGCCTATGTTATTCACAGATAAATTACCTTTCTAACGGTGAAATATTTTTTTAAAATTAACCCTGTAGTTTTTAAGTTATTTCAATACATACAAAAATACAAATCTTCCCACTTTATAATATTAGTATTAAGATGGTAATAATATGTATAATGTCGATACTTTTGTACGTTTATAAAAAATAGATTTGCCTCAACTCATGTAAAGGTGTGGCTTGAATATTTGAACAGTTCTTTGTCTTAGGATCTAATCAAAGTATTACTGCATTTATCAAACGAATTTCAGTATCAAAACTGGATAAGGGTTTTCAAACAAAATTATCTACTATAAAAGATTCATATAAAATTGAATAAAGCTGAAATACGACAAAACATAACCTGTTTACGATATAGCCTTAATTCGAAAGCACAAAGCCCTTATAGATAGTCGCTACAGGATCGTTCGGGCTCCGACCTGTCTAAACCAGTCCGACAAGTTGTTCCCGGCTTACGCTACAAAAGGTTACCTTTTCTTATCCAAACTAAAAGTACTACAAAACCCAACATCACAAGTGTTAAAACAATTATAACATGAAAGTTAAAAAAACACAAAAAACATAAAAATATAAATCTTTTTAATCCGAAAGTTTAGATGGATGGATGTTTGTGAGAGTTTGTAGCCTAAACTATTGAACGCATCTCGATGAAATTTGTCATAGATATAGAGAACTAGCTGTTTCCATGCGACTTCATCCGCATAAAATTATAAAAATTTCATTTTATTGTTTACATGTGTTTATCAATTGCAAATATCAAAATGATATGACGATGACAAACCATGGCAACCTTACTTCCTTGATGTTGGCAGCAACTTATGGTCTCTTTCCCACAGTAGGGTTTTTATCCAAAACATTTACCTCTAAGTTTAACGGCGTGAAAATATATAGCCTAAAGCGTGACGTAAGTGTAGGGCTTTTTATTAAAAAGAGAGTTATTCGAAAATATGCTGTGATTGCTGACATCTTAAGCAAGTAAGAAGTGTGTGTTTACGCTTTATTATATTAGTATAGATAGTATGGAAGAACACAATATTCTTTAATTCCACGTAATTGGAGTCACAGGCGAAAACTAGTTCTGTATAAAACTTGGGACGTAGTAAAATTAGCTCCCTACATAATGCATCAGATTGCCTCACACTAGCTATTTACAAAAGCTATCTATTTGTAGTGTTCACAAACAAGACGTTATACGGCCATTTATTGTGTACGTGGTCGTTTTAGCGCTGCTATAAATGTACGCTTGCTCCCACATTTGGTCGTGTTATATCTCATTTGTATGGTCAATATTTGATGTAATCTGTATTCATACCGCGTGTTAACTCTGTGCCAAGTTTAGGCAACGCTCATTAGCAATTTTAAACTATATCTTTGTTTGTGTCGAGTTTCTTATGCTTTGTTTCTGAAGTTTTTATATGTTTTTTTATTAAGAAGCGACTTATAAATGTTACTTTGACTATGTTTTAACGTAGTAAAACTCGATGTATGTACTTAGGAAACTGTCTTGAAAGTGTCTTGGAGTAATCGAACGACAAATACTAACGAATGGTTAAATATAGCTGGGATACCGGCCATTAATGTAGCGATAAGTGTGTTCATAGATTACGTTCTGTATTAGTGTGTTTAAGTTTGATTGTCTGCGTTGTGACCTTGTTTTAGCAACTCGAACCATGTTTTTTTTAATCGATTATTTTACTTATATAATCGGTGTATTGTAAATTGATGTTTATTGTGCCGGCTTTTTAGCATTGAAAGGTTATGTTACATTGATTTAAAATGTATTTGTTGGTTTTCTTAATAAAAAATATAGATTACAAATTGTATCCAGAGAAAATATTTGAATATCACTAATAAATATACAACAGACATATTGTATTTTATTTTTAAACCCGTCCAATTTCTAGTTCTCGAATTTCCACATATTAAAAAAATTGCTCAATATTTTTTTTATATCTGATTTAAAAACAAGTCTTTAGTCACTGAATTAAGGACGTAAATCCAAGTTACATTAAAAAGTAAATTAAAAAAAATTCTTGTAAATTATTTACGCGTGAACGCATATTTCGTGTTATGGAATCAAAACAATTTACTTAAGAAAATGCTTATTCAATGACGAGTCTTGTAAACAATTTTTTTTTTCAGAATAAATTAGCTTTACAAATAACAATGGACTCAAGTTTTTATTGAACATGACATCTATAACCTTACTAAAGTAAATTTAAATAAAACAACTACGATTTTCTTTAGTAGTTTTTTTACAAAGGCAGGTTCACTTTACCGTTGTGGTTTTGTTGTAGAAAGTTAACAAAAAATATACGAAAACAAACTTTTTGTGTTATTTTTTATTAAGTGACTTGCAAAAGATACGATAAAGGAATAAATTTCAATAAATATAGCAAAGCAATAACAAATATCTGATTAAAATCTATATAACCAAGTAGATGTCCCAAGCTGTTTGGATTCAAAAGACCTAGAATAGCTTAACAGGAAGAGCTTGCTTATAGCGTCGCCAGTCAAATACCTAAATTAGGTCTAAAGAGGGAGAGGGAAGCAGCTATAATCAATTTTATTTTCTTATTGAAAATCGTTTTTACATCAATTTTACCCTTATTAATTCTCTAACAGGCAGTCCTCGTCACGGATACACTTACCTT